ATCGTAATCTGCTAATATTGTATTGAATATGGCAATTAATCATATTCATTAATTAAAGACATACTCTGATAAAAAAAAAAATGTCAAACCATGACACTTCAACTATAAAATATACATGCTCCAAGTCAGGAACCGTTACATTAGTGCATTTCACAATTATTTTATGTTTTTTAGCAAAAAAAAGGTCCAAACTTTTTTCGCCTCGCTCCGCTCGCCGACAGATTTTATTCTACGCCCCCTCTTTCAAATATCCTAGTAACGCCCCTGTATATAGCTAGTAGTGACCTTGGGTGTCGCACTGATTTGATCTTACCGTTTGTTTACCAACTTAGTGATGCCATGAGTAACTCATTAATTAAACAGCAACGATGTTATGTTGTTATTTGTTCTTTTGTACGACAAACGTACAATGTCTGAAGACTAGATTTATATTTTGACGGTGGACCTCTCGTATCCCCCTTGCGGGCGGGACGCCAAATTAGGTAATAATGAACAAGTCCCCTGTGGATTCATACATTTGTCATCACCAGGTTGCCCCTGTAATAATACCATCTGACTTCTAAAACACGCTGTTGATAGAGAATTTGAACCGAAACTTAAATTTTCTTTCCAGTACACAAAAAAAGTCTTTGGGCCATACTTAAAATATGTTTTTTTCTTCTTGTTATTAAACATAAAAACAATCCTCAGAACACGGGAAATCGCTTCTGAGACGTTCTAGAAAACACATTTTTTGGGGGGGAAACCCCCCAAACCCCCCTTACGGGGAGGGGGTCTGTACCCTCCCCCTCCTCCCGCTACGCGCTCGGGCTGCTGCCTTTCGCAGCACGCCGTTGACTATTGAGAAAAAATTATCGGCCCCCCCCTTTTAGGAAATCCTGGATCCGCCAATGATACTGTAACGTTACCTCATACGCTGGGAAAGAAACCGGGACGAGGGAAACGGAAAATCACAAAGAGAACGACGACCACTAAGAGACAATATCATTACTGACAAGGGTACAAATGACAAAGGCCAGGTGAGCTAAGGGTACAAATAAAGGCCAGGTGAGCTAAGGGTACAAATAAAGACCAGGTGAGCTAAGGGTACAAATAAAGGCCAGGTGAGCTAAACATAGGTCGGGATGGTTGGTATGCTGACAAAACTATTTTCGTAAATGTGTATTTCAGTGTATAATGTATTTATTTGTTTTACACAGGCTAGTTTTAACATGTTAACTTTGATTCAGTTAAACATATTTTATTGCCTTTAAAGCAACAGAATTGAGCACAAGTTGTACAACTTATTTAAAGCCCTTTCCCTAAAATAAAACATATGTATATATTTACAAAATTCAAGATGGCATATACAATATACACAACCAATTGTACATATCTTATGAGAGAGAGAGAGAGAATTTAAAAAAAATAATAATGTGAACAAGCTTTTCCGACACTGACGGCAGAGGTTGACACTATACACTCCCGTGCCATGGTTTGCTTCCTCCTTGTCTTTCCGTTCGTCCTTGAATATCCGTTTCTCTTGTGCCGTCATGATCAGCATCGGAAAAGATCGGTACAAAACATTTAAACTTATATACAACCTGATTTTTAACTATAACAGAGAGAGATCGAAGGAAGGGAAGGGAGTGGGGTGGGTTAAAATCTGTTAGAATAATGAATATATTGCTAAGTATGCATGAAGATTAGTTCATTTTCCTGCTCAGATAAATTTGTATCTCCAAAAAGGAGTAGATTAACGGTGAGAGGAATATATGCATTAAGTTCACGGAAGAAGCTTATTCTTTGTTCAGCATAAATATTTTTGCAGTTAAAAAGAAAATGATAGGTATCTTGATTAGGATAGACACAGAGACAAGTGTGGTCAGCGACAAGATTAGATCTAAATAAGTGATTTCTCAATGTACTAGCTTGATTTCTTAATCTTGTATGCAAGATATTATTTTTTCTTTCTCTATAGAAATAAAAGTTAGGTACCTGTGGTAAATTTGTGTTACGGATGGAATTTTTAAAAGCTGAAAATGATACACCGTGCCTGATATCTAAGGGTAATTTAATGTAATTAATAAAGTTAACTTTAACTTAAAAAAGTCTCCATGAAAGACTGAAGACTCCACCATTCTGAGCGGCGATAACAACAGTATCATCGTAACGGTTAGCAGATGGCTTTCAGATCAATGTTAAATGGGACCTTATTGCTTTGTTAAGATCAAATCATTACGAAGTTTCTATTATGCAAACGACTTTTTAATAGTCCTGATCCTGTCCGATCCTGTAGGTCGTCGCGTGTTCCTGTAGCTCGTCGTACCGCTTATGATAGTATTGAAAGCCCAACCCCGAGTTGTCTTCCCTTCTGAGATCATTACAAATTGCGTTTTCTCCGGAAGCTATTTCAAAACAGACGCTATCTATCAACGCCAAGGCGAGGATGGATTATATGGATATGTTTTTGTTTGTTATTTTGGTATTTACTGAAATACTTGGAGTTTTTACTCAAGGTAACGTTATAAAAGTCAGACTTAAGGAGACGCCACAGGCTTTTGTATCGATCACTTAAAATAGTCCTGACAATGAAAAGTCATACCCTAAAATAGGGTGTTACTTTTTTTGAAATCTACATTGTAACTTGTAAGCGTGTATAATATTATCTGTTCTTAATCAAGCTATTTTTTGTTTTAAGAAAATTGAGCAAATCTCTCTGCTTAGCTCTTATAAAACGCATGCTAACAAATGAAATGAAAATGATTTGGGATACAGTATACGTTGTGACATCATACCTGTTACTATTTCCGTACACTGAATCAGACCTACCAGGAAATCTTGGTCCGGGTCAAGGACGGATCCAAAGTTTTGTTCCATGAGGTGTGTCACCATTGAAGACTCCCAGTTTATATGTCGACACCTATGTTCTCAACTATGTCAATGTTGCAACACAATCAAGTTAGATACCAGTCTTGGCTTTTTACTATTTCAAGGGTCTATCTTTCTCTAAATCTTTCTTAATTAGTTTGCTCTGACATATTCAAGGGGTGCAAAGATCGAAAATGAGCGGAACCCTCGAGTATCCAGGATGAAAAACGGGATAGTCATCATGATTTTGTTAAACAGATAATGAGCTGTGGCATGTATATATTGATTTAAAAGTTTTTTTTTATAGGTGTACATACTTTTAATTCTTTCATGCCCCTCTTACTCTAACTGTATCTTTTTAAATACTTGGCTAACTATTATAAAAAATCATGTAATCCCTTGATAATCAGGCTGGCATGTTATAAGTTGGACACTTTCAGTGGCGAGTCAGTGATTTGATTTGCCCTGTACATGTTTACCTGCCGAATACAGGGTGAAATAGCCAAAAAGTACATTATTTTCCCAAAATTACCCATAATGAGGAATATATTCCCAATTTCAATAAAAATAATGCTAATTATATTTTCCCATTTCGTAAAGGAACAGGCTGTTGTAAAATTCAGGTAAAACAACAGTATCATCAGAGTTGCCAACTATAAAATCTTTTATAGCTTTCATTATAAACATGTTTGAATGTAGTTGGATACTTTTAACATTTTGTCATCAGGGATCCCTGCTGACAGAACCTTTGAGGTGTGTACAGGATCACGTGTGACAATGACGTTTGAGGGTGCAAACTATAACCAAGGCGATCTTGAAAGCTGGCACTTCACATCTCCAGGATCTAAAGAAGTAGATGTGGCTCTTGAATTTGGGACCTCTCCATTCCAACCTGTGACTGCGTATAAAGGATATGGATTGGAAAAAGTTGGAAGGCAGGGCATAGTGATACCTAATATTTCAGCAAATGACAGTGGGCTGTACAGATTTAACCAGGATGCAAACTTCAGATACAATGTAACAGTAAAAGGTATTGGGACGTTAAAAATATCTCTTCCTGTAGTTTTTTTATGGGTTGTTTATAATTATTTTTATGATTTTTTTTTAGGTCACCTGAGCTAAAGGTTTATGAGACCTATGATTGCAGGTCACCTAAGCTAAAGGTTCATGTGACCTTAAGCTATGATTGCAGGTCACCTGAGTAAAAGGTTCATGTGACCTATGATTGAAGGTCACCTGAGTAAAAGGTTTATGTGACCTATGGTTGCAGGTCACCTGACCTAAAGGTTTATGTGACCTATGATTGCAGGTCACCTGAGCTAAAGGTTCATGTGACCTTAAGCTATGATTGCAGGTCACCTGAGTAAAAGGTTTATGTGACCTATGATTGAAGGTCACCTGAGTAAAAGGTTTATGTGACCTATGGTTGCAGGTCACCTGACCTAAAGGTTCATGTGACCTATGATTGCACTATTGTAATCATCTTTCGTCCATCATAGTCGGTAAACTTTTTATATTTTTGACTTTTAAAATCCCGCAGAAATACGCCTGTGTACGCATTATGTCAAATTGAGGGCGAGAAAACTCGTCCTGGACATTTTGCTTCGAGACACGGGAAACGAGATTACTCGTTTTGGAAAACCCCTTTGTTCAACGTCATCGTATTAATAGCTATCAACCGTGAACCAATCAAATCACTTGTCAGGGGGATTCTATATACACGTCATATCATTTCTGTGCGTTGATTAGTCGGTTACAAGGTTAGCAAAGGTCACATTAAAGGCTATTCATAAAACGAAAGTACTTCGTCAGAAAATGGCGGACCAACAATTTTTTTTGATCAAATGCTTCGGGGATTTAGGTAGTGAAGCCATTTTCGACGGTATTGAAGTGGGATATATAGTAGCATTGGAGTTAAATGATTATCCTTCGTTCGATATGATTTATTTGTACAATGACGATGATATTGTGCGGGATCTAGCCGCGAGATAGAGACGGTACAGAATTGACAACAACCCGATTCCGACATTATCGGCAACGCAGGTTTGAAAGTGAACATCGATAATCATAATGATGCATGCGCATTGCCTTTGGAATATTTCTAACTCTTCATGTATGACAAATTGTTTTCAAATAAAGTTATTGAAACAGACAGTATTTTTTTACCAATGTAAGGCTAATCGCGGCATAAATCAGAATCAATTTGCCCGTATCAATCTTTGTTTATATTTGACATATCTTGTCGGGACCACGTCAATTCGGGACCGACATGTCAGCCTCGGAACTCGAATAATTATTTTGCCTGACAATTTTCATTGGAATTATTGAGAAATCTTTTCTTTATAATTATTGACAACAGATTCTTTAATAGAGACCCAAGTTTTTGTGACCAAAATGACAGCACAGAATCATAATCGGACTCAAAAACGCGTAGCATTGACTTACTGTTACCTGTAATTAACACACCTGCATGGTTATATGTATATAAAATGACTGATAGAACTAATATCAAATAAACATCAATATGATATGAAAGTGTGTGAATGTCTTTATTTAAAAAATATGAACAAACGATGAGCTATTATCAATGGACAAGACACTGAACGTTTTACTTTGAGTTCACCTGTCTTACCTGGGCATTTATAAGCTGTAAATGAGCAGGTAATGTCATAGTTATTTAGTATGATATCAGAATAAGAGTTATTTGTCTTCAAATGTCAACATGTACTGCATTTTAATGAAAATTAAAGGGAATAACAAAGAAATTATATTAATTATCAAATACTTTACCTGTCCCTCACCTGTACAGGTAATTATAGGAACTTTTCAAAAAATGTCTAAGGTTAATTAGATAGGTCTTTATACAAGGTTCCTAAAACATATAGGTTTTGAATACGTATGAGCTACAGAAATGCCAATAAAGTAGGTTTTAAAATTGAAATACTTTTAATTAAATATCTTCAAATTAATTCAGTGGGAGCATTGTTTACTATGAAAAGTAATGCAGCATACAAAGAGATAAAGAAATAAAATAGACAAGACAATGTTTCACTCACCGTAATAATGCAGTATTTTGTATTGATCAATCAGTAAATTCGTTGTTGTAGACATCATTGTAATGGTAGACTGTCGCATTCCGGAACTTCTCGGGCCTTTTTACCGACGTAGAAGGAAAACAGAGAGTTCCGATGAGTCTGATAGTCTGGTTTCGTTCTCCTCTATTCGGTTTGCAACTGTATCAGTTGCAAACTCCACAACCCCCCTCCCGAACCTCCCCCTCCCTCCCTCGTCGCTTCGCTCCTCAGGTGGCTGCCATTGGCAGCCACAGAGTGGCCCCCAATTGTCAGAAAGGAGGGGGGCATGTACACAAATGTCATAAATCCTGAATGCAACCCTGATGAATAAATATTTAAAACTATTAATCTAGCTAGTATCATTGTGTGAGTTTGAACACAGATGAACTTAGTTTAATATGGTAATGGGCATGTATCGGAGATAGTTTACTTTGTGTTTTTTATAATTATACAGTGGTTTATGCGAACGAAAGGGATAAGTGACTGGTTAGTTTGATTTTGCCATGAGGCCCCCCCAAGGGATAACTGCTGTGATGGCCACGGCGTATTCTGTTCTCTGATCCTCTGTCGGTGCTCGGGGTCAAATGAGATACGTGCGCTATTAGATTTACATAATTTATAATATTACCGGGATCAGTAAAATGGTATGATTTAATTATATTGCTGAATTAATCGATTGTTTTTTGTTTTGACATGCTAGTTTTAAATTAGTAATAATATAATACCCGGCCTGCCCTGGCGCGACGACGCAATATATATAAAAAAAAATCGCTCTTCGTCAGAAAGCTACGTTATCGCAGCTAGATTAAAAATGTCAAAATGACGGACCAGGATGAATATCTGAGGAAGGAGAACCTACTTCTAGTAAATAGGATCGCATAACACTTTTTTTTTAAATCGTAATTTTTCAACAGTTCATGTTTTCATATGATGTTGACTTAGAATGTATGATCATGTAACAACCTTTTCTCTATAAAGAATAAATTTTCAACTTCAGATAGAATCGGAATACGTATTGAAAACAGGGGAAAAAATATTTGATTACGTTATAAAAATGGCGCGTGCTGCCGATAACTACGGCTTCTGTTTCGGACCAAAGGAACTGATTAAAGAAAAGTTGTCTCAGCATAAAAAAGTCCATTTAAAAGTATGCTTTAATCTCTGTAAAGTATTGAAAAAATATCATTATCAAGTATCTCAACACGTTCCTAATTGACACATATTCTACATGTACACGTAGTGGTTTTGCCATACATTTTATTGTGTGTGATGGTTAATATGACTTCCTAAATGTTAGCGTTTGGAGACAGTGAAAGTGGGAAAGAGAGTATACATAGATTTATATTCATGGTCTAGAAAAAAAATGGCCAAAGACATTGAGTGGTTTAATGTAATAAATAAATTCACAAACGTTTCCTTTTTATATTCGAGTGTAGTTTGTCATTGCATATATGCACTTTATGTAAACATTTGAAAGGGGATATTCGTCTCGTGAATATTCCTTTTTGCAGAAAGGTTTGTCTCATTGTTGAGGGAGTGTTTAGCCCCGTACCACCTGTACCGGTCACGGGAGAAGGCTGTGATAAATTGTAAAAACTTGTGCCCCATCCTTTGTTTAATTTTATTGGCAACAAATTTATGTTAAAAGCTAAATAAATTTAAATTCTTAATATTGGCAAGTGTGCAATTAACTTCTGATGATGAATAATTACTGTTCAATAAGTTTGAATACGGAATTAGAAATCATATAACTTGGTTTCATAGTGCGGTAAGAAGTTGCAGTTGCCTGACGGCCCCTCTCTGAGGGCCCCTTTGTAACCCGTTTCCTGCCTAATCAGGTGACGTTATCGGCGCTATTTTTAGCCGGGCTTTCCCGAACAATTCAAGTGGTCAAACTGGACATTTGGAACGGACTATGAATATGGGGATAGCGAGGAAACATAAGTGGAAGTGCATACAATACATACATTCATTAAAAAAAAACGCCTTTTCACGTGATGTCCCTTTAATTGTAACCTTCTTTACCTCCAAATCATTCATTCTCCCTTGGGGAAGTTTATATATTACTATAGAGAGAGAAATAACACTTATAATTTGTCCATTTTCATAATTAAAACTTAATTGGAATAATTATGATGAGATATATAGCACTGCATTTAGATGGAGAGAGACAATAATATCCTCTATATGTCTTGCCCCAGGGGCTAGTGGAGGTATGAAGCTCAAAGGGAATTTTAATGGCTAAAAATTAAATAATCTCCTTCTTCAAAATCAGATATGTGTACTAGAATCAGATACTTTTAATGGATGTAAAGGAATTTAGGTGCTTCCTCCTCTGAAGTATAAATTGCATTAACCCTGTGTCATCTGTTCTCCTCTGGGGAGGTGGTAAATCTGACTACGACATATTGTTAAAATGCATACTGGTAGGGAAATAACACTTATTGGTATATTTTGTCGATTCTGCAGGAGATATCATTCAATTTGGATGGAAAAATTATGATGAGATGGCAATTAGATGGTATATAAAATCCTGCTTTGCTCCTAGGGCCAGAGTGGCAGCTAGTGCCCAAAGAGGAAAAATTGGCTTAAATTTCAAAACTCTGATATAGATGTATTGACATAGAGAAAAAGTGATCAATTCAAAATGAAATTGTTATCATATATATGATCACACAGATTTAAGATCTTTTGTTAAACCTAGAATTTATTATTGATTGTGTATGGAATGGTTATTTGCATGTCTGGTAGAATGTTTAAATATTAGTACATGTAATAGACAAAGTTGAAACGTCAAGTGGATATATCCTTAAAATATTTATTTCAAAAATATTGCAATTCAGCATATTTCATTACTGCATTGCGATACATTACCATACATATGCCTGTGTATTGTAATATACCGGTGATCCTATGTAATGTAACAGCCCTACTATTCTATTTTGGTCAGGTTATGAGGTGATAACGCGAGCCATTTGAGCACATGTTAACTGAATAGATTACTTATTTATTTTCCAGTGTCTCTGTAATGTCATTTCAATTATTAACTTCTTACATATATACATTGCTCAGGGTAACCTACTCAATTTTGTGGTCAATTGAAGCATGTTTCACTTGTTAGTTTCCAACTAATGATATCCTTTTCCTAGGTTCCACCCAGAATACACCCAACACTTGAACCACATCTACACACATACCTGTTTATAAAAAATCTTAAACTAGTGAAAATTTAATCTGTTCAGAGTAAGACTGATATTTTTGTCTTTTTTTTCCCAGATCCCTGCTTGGAATCCACAGATCCTGTTCCTCAGGAAGATGAAATGTGTTTAAAAGTTCAATGTATGACAAAGGCAACATTCCAGAGACTGGAGGTAAGGGGTTAGTGGGATGACAGTTACAAGGGGAATATATGTTTGCACCTTCCAGGAGATTACATTAAGTACTTTATGCCAGGAAATTTTTGCTACAGTTTAATTTTCCCCTTTTTTTTCGCCCTCAGTAACGATTATCATAGTCACTAAATGTGAAGGGTGAGATATGGGTTTTTACCGGCGAAGGTTTGACAGAGCAAACATTTCCCGGTATACAGTTAGTTGAGGGTGAGGTTTTAGCTTGGTTTTGGTTTTATAGGGTTAAACGCCCTATTAACAGCTGAGGTAATTGAAGGATATGCCTCGTTGTGTGTATATGACTATATGTGCTGGAGCTTAGGTAGTTTGACAAACCAGTGTATTTTCCTCCCTGCAATAGTGCAAATCTGATGCCAACTTTATAGTGTTACCTTACTGAAATATCATGCCAAAGGCTTAGTATTCCACCTGATCACATTATACTGGCAATGGGTTAATCGGTTCTTCCAATTACTGTAAATGCTGAACACTGAACGTTAAGCATGGATAACGACTAATATTTTTTGAAAGACTTTGGCTTTTTCTTTCCTTAGAACCGAAACCCTTTGCCTTCCTCACCTAGGCCAATGTTCAACACTATTAAGGCCAAAAGTAAGGTATTGCTAAGCAAAGCACTAAGAAAAAAAAAGTTTATAGGAAGTAGACAGAAATTTACAGATCCCAAATAATGCAATGGATGCAAGTATTCCGTCTTTGCGTATTGCAGAGTTATCTTCTCTTGTGAGCAAGTATTGATTGTTATGTCATTGGTTTGTGAGAGTAACGTCATCATTGTTTGAGAAAATGACGCAATTTTCTCACACAAACCAATGACGTAACAATCAATACCTGCTCACAAGAGGAGATAACTCTGCAATACGCAAAGACGGAATAGAGAACACAAAAGTAGCTGCCCTCATCAGTTGCCTCTTAGAACATGCAGTGGTATAAAAGCAGGTCTATTCTTCTCTCAATCTCTGACCTTCTGCAAGAGGGGATCGGGGAGCAATTACACTAACAAATACCTATAAGAATTACTGTATACAGAGAAATATTTTCTTCACAGTTTACGCCTTTTTCACCCTTCACAATGGGAGCAAATTTTTCATTACAGAAAATATAAGCAAACAGCATATGGGCGAAATTAACACTGGGCGAACATTGATTTTAACAGGGAAGGTTGAATATTTGACTGGGCAAACATTGATTTTAACAGGGAAGGTTGAATATTTGACTGGGCGAACATTGATTTTAACAGGGAAGGTTGAATATTTGACTGGGCGAACATTGATTTTAACAGGGAAGGTTGAATATTTGACTGGGCGAACATTGATTTTAACAGGGAAGGTTGAATATTTGACTGGGCGAACATTGATTTTAACAGGGAAGGTTGAATATTTGACTGGGCGAACATTGATTTTAACAAGGAGGGTTGAATATTTGACTGGGCGAAAGTTTCTGGTACAGTTAAACTTCGAAGTTTCAAACTTTGCAGGACCATCGGGGAAAAATTGGAAACTTTGACTCACAAAATTTTAGCATTGAACATCGAAATCGCACACATAAAGCAGATTATATGATTCTTATGTAACGAAACACAAAAAGCTAAGAAATTTAATTTTAAAGTTTAATATACCTTGACAGAAATAACAATAGATTTTTTGTTATGAACACACTGTAGTTTGCATTATGATCTTATGAAATTCAACATTTCTTTGTTTGTCAGTTAGGTCTAAATTTTCAAAGTCTGTACCCCGTCTTGATGTGGTCCATCGCGTGCACCATGTTGCTGAGAGTGATTCCTGTTGGCCGTTTGTTTTTGAGAAAAAATCATTATATGACAATCGATTTTATTGAAAATCACACAATTAAGTTAATAACATCATAGTCCAATAAACATACAGATCATTGTCCCATGGCCCTAGACCTGAATTCTGCGAAATGGACCATTATAGTAAACCACTTTCTTTGAGCTAAGCCTATGTTTATGATTAAAAAATAAATACTGCCGGTGAATGTATCTTACAGAACATGATCAACACTATATTTATTATCACTAAAGCGTTACACTGCTGTTTTAAGAAAACACTTAAGCATTGAACTGCTTTCAGTTGGCATTCATAGGCAATATGAATGCCAACTGGACAAAGGCAAATTCAATGAAGCGCTTATGATGTCATAATAATGAGGACGTCAACACTCAGTCCATGGCATTCATAGCCTATAGCTATGAGTTATATAGTGGCAATGCCATGCGATGGTAAATATTACTGAATTAATCAGTGTCAGTTTATAGTTTATTACCTGGAAATAATAAATACTGGGTTGAGTCAACATGGTCCCCAGTACTTTTCCGTGAAGGTGTTAAAATGACCACGGGACATTTCATTGATCTTGTACAGGTAAACTTTGATTTATTAGTTGTAATTTTGACTGTGTTCATAACGAACGGGCCTTACTTATACTTCGAAACAGCAAGAAATTCGACTTATAAAAGTTTGATTCTTGAATAAAATAGTAGTAGTGTTATATAAGGGAAAATATCCGGACTTTGTCGTAAGTTCGACACATTGAGAAATTTGAATCTGCCGATCGATTTAGAGAGGTTTGACTGTATACAGTATCATGTACTGTATAAATTATAATGGGTTATTTATACTGGCTGAAAGTTTTGCGATTTTAACATCAAATTTCAAAATTAAATATTCACAGATTATCATTTCACGATCTAGACATGTGACAGAACTAAATTTTGGCAGTGTTTTAGCACAGAGACAGGACACTCGGCAGATAAAATGTCAAAATGTTACATTAATACGCTTTTTTACAGCCATTGAGTAAAAATTATTGGGACCCTCTGCATAGAAATTGTATTACTCTTAATATCTATAAACTGTTATAACCACAACCGCTATATCATGACGATATTATGGTTATGAAGTTAATTATTGCATATCATTTTTACGCTTGTCATATTGTTCTGTGGATGATAATTTCGTGACCATGTTATTGATCCGCTCAATCTCAAAAATAACCAGCTATACAGTATTAGGTGTAGATAAATGACAGAGGGAACTAGTAACATTATTTGGGGGACAATTATACCCAGTGAGAAAAGTACAAGTTTCAGAAATGTCAGTATGTATTGTCTATTAAAGATGTTGTTTTGTGTGTTTACAGATAGGAGATGTCACAGACCAAGTTACCCAGAATCCTTACACTTTGTGTGGTACCTCTGTTGTCACGGTGACTTGTGTAGTTGAGCAGGGAGGTCAGGAGTTGACAGACATGACCACTTTCGATCTGACAACCAGGAATGAAAATGGTGAGTTATGGCTCAAGAATGTATATATACTATAAACTAATAATTTGTCTGCATTGTTTGCACTGCAGTGTCTTCAGTTGATGCTAACTTGGCCAATGTTGAAATTGCCTTTCTGTTGTAAACTGTGCCTTGTCACGTTGTAGGCAAACCACTAGATAATTCCATTTAACTTGTTCATACATACAATCACCACCCCTTAATTTTATTCTGGATTGAAACTGTTGTTGGGCTTGGCCAGCAAACTAACACTGATACTTAAGGTAGCCGATTAGTTAGAACAACCCACATTGTGATTGGAGGCCCAAGCGTTGGAATTCTGGCCTGGCCTCGTCATATTTTTACTCTTAGACCACTCATGTTTTTTTTTCTGTTACTTGTAATGCGAGGCGACATATAGGTATTTCTTTGTTGGCGTCGGCGGTTGCGCCATCCAAAACTAGGCTTCCATGCGATAACAGGAGTTCCCTCGTGTTGCTTGAACTAAAACTTAGTACACATATTGCATACCAATATAGCTCAAACAAGTTCGCATTTCAGAGGTTTACGTGCCTTCTTTGTGGAGTTATGCCCCTTTTATTGCCAAATAAGGGCATTGTGTAGTAAATGCAAGAACCTTTTTTGTTTTTTAATCAATTCCTTTAAAATTTTGTACGGGCCACGGTAATGCTAGAAGCAACAATGTTTAGCATATATTACTGGTAACGGTAATGCTAGAAGCAAAAATGTTCAACATATATAACTGGTTTTTCTGTCGAGTTTCAACTTTGCGTGTTTTGGCATATTTGTTTATGTGATAACTCAAGCCAATTAAACACTTTTCTTACTAAAAGCGCTGAGCCGGCGACACATCCATTCCCATGGAGTTCTTGTTTGTTTATTTCATCATTTATTATTTTTTCATGAAAGTTGGCAATGTACACTGTATATGGGGAAATCAGTGATTCATTTACCTGTTGGTCTTTAAGGGTCATTTGACCCATCGCAAGCTAGTATCTATGGGTCAAAATTTACTACTATGGGTCGTATTTAGCTTATCTGCAATATTTTTTCTGTTTTGGTAAACTTTCTCAGTCAAAAATAGTAAAGTTTGTACCAAGTCAATAACAAACTCACTTATATAATGAAACTCTTTTATTAACAAAGTTCTTCAAATGAAATGAAATGACTAGAACTTACAAGCAATACGTTTTTCAATCTAGAGTGTCAAGCATACCCATAAATGGCCCCAAGTAGCTTTATAAACATTGCAGATCAGTCGTACATGAGTTTTGTCTTATGGAGAATCTTAATGGCTTCAATATTCTCAGTAGATAAATCGTGAATAAAATTCTACAGACTTGAAATGAGCAAATGGAAGATTCTCTTTACTCAATCAACGAGCGCACTCCATTCAGTATCATATTAAAGTGTTTTTCATGTTTAAAGGATGTTTCATGACAGATTTATGCACTTAATTTAGCATTTTGAAGAGTACTCCCAACTGTGCCTGTTTTTTAGGCTTGGAGATATATTTATCTTCCAAGATCGATCGCTGCACAATCCTTTACAAAAATCAACAAGAAATTATTATCAGTACTTAATATTTTTCATATCGCCAAAATAATTTTTAATTAGTCAATGAATATATTTGTGGAATTAGCTTGTTCGCCCATCTGTCCATAAACTGGTTTAATTAAATGCCCCTCGTTTACCACCAACACATTTTAATACATGTCCCTTTTTTTTTTTCTTCTTATGAATTTTCCTTCAATTTATTGCCAAACCCTTTTATAACGACAACATATCTTTCGAAAAACAGTGGCAGTATGCATATGACAAAGTTTTACTGTAATTGATCAGATTCCATCTGAATTTGTTTGGCCTACATACATAATAACGAATAGTGGTTTAAATACCTACATATATAAGGATGTAGTTCTGAAATGTTTTCATGAAAATATTTATGACCAAATTTACAGGTGATGATAATGGGGAGAAGAAATCCGGTGAGTTTATAACTGAATATAGCGATAAAATTTAAGGTGGTTGGAGATGTTGATGCTGGTTTTATGATTGTGTCAGCTAGCTCTAGGACTAACAGCGATTGACAGGAATAAAAAATAATCGGGTCCATATTGACATTGCCGTAATTTTATTTAGTATTTTCAATTTTATATATGAAAAATAACTCCTTATATCTATAATAAATATGTCTCTGAAATCAAACTGACTTTGCACGCTTCGTCCTATGTTTCGATCATGTACGAGTTAACTTTCCTTGAGGTTTATTATAAACATACTTTACAGTATATTAATTATTTAATTATATTTGGTAATATATGTTCTTTATACAAAATACTCTTGCTATTTTAAAGTGACATTATATTTTATATAAACTCATAGTTAGATAACATGACTTTACAGAATAACATAAGCAATATATGTCAACTTCCTGTCATTACCCACAATGCTTATTACTATATTTACACAAATTGGATATAATCATTCTTCAACCTCGTTTGCCTGTTTCTAAACTCCAAGATTATTTTTAAATGGTAGAGATGATAGGTATTCCTTTTTCTCACGCTATCACTAAGCTATCGGTTTTCTCTCTCCTGACTCATTTTAATTTGAGAAACCTGCTAGGAGTTGGTAAAGATTATTGGTTATCCACTAGTGGGCAACACCCCAGACGTATTTCAGTGATCAATCTTCTTATTATGATGTCAAGTAACGATGCACTGTGAGTTCACCAACCATTTCGATGTTGAAGCAGTCATCAATAGAAATAAATACAGGACACTAATTAAGTCCCATGTTTGCTACAAAACAACACAAAGAAATTGGTTACATTTTGGTTCTGTATCATTAACCCTTTCACCCCTATGTAACTTTAGTAGACTCTACCATGCATTGATATGGAGGGGTCCATTATGGTCTACAGTGGTGAAAGGGTTAAAGTATGCTTCTATGTCACGTACACGGAACAAGCTTTGCATTCTTTAATAAATATACAGAGGAGGAAAAAATCGGTACATGGGGACAATATTATAATAAGCGAGTTCCACTGTACAATCACCCGAAATAAACATATGGCATGTACATTATATGGTGTACTATGCTGACGGGTAATGTTTGCTCATCTAATAAGGAAATAACATTCTCGTTGAAAATTTATAATAAGAGATACAAAAAAATTGTAGATTAGGTTTTTGAAACCTTTATCAGATTAAAGGTTTTTGAAACCTTTATCAGATTAAAGAGAAATCTATGTCCTATCAAAGTATCATTTCATTATTATGATTCTGATAAGATTAATGTTCTGAAAATGCACAATAATGCACATACCCATATATGTTTCTTTCCTGCAACAGTTTCTGCGAATCTTGCACATGCTGTTGATCTGAAAATTCAAGTGCTTTCTTTAAGCTTACTACATTTTGGCTTAGCTATAGAACCTCTGGCTTGAATTGCAGATGATTAAATCAAGTCACCTATCCTCCCTCTCAGAATTAAATAGAAATTGGACTTGAGCAAGGCTACTACTTGAAATATTTTCAGATGTTAATGTTGAATCAAAAATTGAATCAAATGGACCCTCATCACTTTCAGAATTTTGAAAATTGGACTTGAGCAAGGCTACTACTTAAATATATTAAATATTTATGTGCAAGATTACTGGAAGTGCTTTTAAAAGTTACCAAATCTAGTTGTGCATAGTGTATTTTATACTAACAATTATATGCAAAACTATTTAGACAGAGTTTCAATAATTTCATGTCTCCTCTTTAAACTGAATCTGATGAATATACATTTAGTATAGATAAGATATTCAATGGATTTGTTATATGCCTGTAAAAATTAATTCATTAATTAATGAATTATAGAATTCATTTAAATGGTGTAAGATGAAAATATTATTGACAGAAATAGCCAATTTCAATTTCTATTTTTCATAGTTTAAAATTTATACAAAGGGAGAGAAGTCCTGTGAAAATCATTTTTAAGGTTAAAAAGGATATCCATATATATACTACTCACATTTTGCTAAGGATCACTTTTATTTTTGGGCATATGTGAAAATAAATATTTTATTTGGTTTATACTGAGATTATTATTTAAAAATTGATTGTTCTTTTAATTCATCAGCATGCAAAAATTCCACAAAACGTAATTACAGTTGGAAAATGAGCCACAGGAAAAAGGGTTAGCCTTAAAATTGGTAACAATGATAAATCTTAATTAGTAATAAATGGATTATACCATGATGGGATAGCCTTCTGTTTATAAATACCTACAGAAAAAAGGGAGACAACTTTGATTTTTTGGCATTAAAACTTCAGTTTTTGTCAACCAAATTCAGCGAAACTTATACGAAACGAAATGGCATATGATTGCTCCTGGTAGTGTCATAGAGGTGCTGACTCAAATTTGTGGAACCAAATACAGAACCTTGCAGTATACTTTTATTAAAATTGTCAAAATTCAAGCACCTGAAACATATCCACCTGTGATAAACTTGAAAGCCATTCCAAACCAAACTTCTACTCTGTGTATATACAGTGCACAACAACTTAGTCCAAAAACCGATAAAACCAGAATACTGGAATGTCTGAAGTGGAGAGAGGATGGACTATTGCTGTATTTTTTCAAAGACAATCACAATGTTGTCTCGGCAAGCAGTTTTGTGTTTGAGTAGCAAGTATTTCCCATTTATTTAGTCCCCTAAGGCACACTGGATGATTAAAATACCGTCCCAGAAGTTGACATTCAAGAGTAATGTTGCGACGTCAAGACGGTGCAATACGTCTGTCCTACCTCCGGAACAATTTTCAAACAATAACCCTTGCAAAATTTACCAAAAAAGGTTGTGTAAGTTTTTCATGTCAGTATAGTAAAGCCTCCTTTGTTCTGGACTCTGGGATGTCGTACTCAATTCTGGAAGTGATATATATACATGACTCCAGAATACTGTACAAATTTTATTAGACTGTGTTCAAACTCAAACTTGGTTTTCCTAATGCTTAAATAACTCTTGTTATCGTTATTACTTAGGAAGTAATTGACACGTTTCATTTTCAGACTAATTGGAAAAAACTAAATGGCATACATCTTGGATTTTGAGTGTTAAAATTTTGTTACTGCTTTTTCCTAAAACGTTCTTGATAGATCTTTCTCAAATTTCATATTTAGGTTTCTCCTAGTTTTGCATGTTGCATTTTTGGACTGTACAGAAAAAACCAAAAGGTTTGTCAGGCAGCCATCTTAGATTTTAGATTTTGAGAGTTGATAGCTTGTTATTGCCATTTCTCGAGAAGTACTTGACAGATATTGCTCAGAGTTCGCATGAACTTGTTGCTCTTGGTCCATATTTGTTCATATTTCATTTTGAAACTAAAAGGAAAGACAAAAGGAGCTCGAGGCATCTCAGATTTTGAGATTTTAATACTGTTATTGATATTTTTCAAAAAGCACCTAACAGATCTTTCTCAAATATATTTGAAAGTTCCCTAAGTGCAATGTTGTGCATGTTTCATTTTGGGACTGATCAGTGAAACAAGATGGCCACCGGCCTGAAAACATCCATATTTTTATATGAGGGATTGATGTTGCTGAAAGACAGACCCAATATTTGGAAATAGTTGCAGTATTATATGTTCCATGTTTGCTTTATCATTGAGGCAAGCGAAACAGGCTCTCTGGCCTGGGCCTCTTGTTAATGTAATGACAAGTTGATTAATACAACACACGGAACAGAGAACAACGGTGAAAGTTAACTAAAATGGCACCAATAGATTGCATGCATCATGATAAAAATAGAAAAAAATACTGAAGTAGAGGCTATATCATTACAAGCCCAATTAACACCTAAACCAACACGGGTGGAAGTTAATTTTACTTATGACCCTTTAAGGAAAAAAACACTATCATTACTATATTCGTGAAGCATCATGGTATGTTTTTGGAATAGTTCTAGGTATAACCTGCAGGTATGGATCCTTGTGTGTGAAGATCTCGTTTATTATTCCAGATTTTTGACATTTTGTAAAAATAAGCGAAAACCAGGTGTATTAAACTTATATAAATCCCAAATCATCTATCAACGAGCATTCAGAAGTGTCCCCTTACTTAGATATACAATGTAGGCAACCAAAGGTTTTTAAATATTATTGCATCAAATGACTGTAAAATATGATACTATGAAAAATCACGGCCAAAATCCTTGAAGTAAGTTTAACAGCATTCTGTTGGATTAATTTTTTCTCAAAAACTTTTCTCCTCAATAAAATTCAGCCGTCATATGGTCAGCTGTATTATTCCTGGATCAATATAAGTATCTGTGGTGTTTCAAAAGATCAAATTTTTCTGGTAAATTTTTGTTTTAAAGGGACATCACGTGAAAAGGCGGTTTTTTTTTTAATGAATGTATGTATTGTATGCACTTCCACTTATGTTACCTCGCTATCCCCATATTCATAGTCCGTTCCAAATGTCCAGTTTGACCACTTGAATTGTTCGGGAAAGCCCTGCTAAAAATAGCGTCGATAACGTCACCTGACTAGGCAGTAAACACAAGTGGTGCGAGCAAGATGAAACGGTTTCCAAAGGGGCCCCAAGAGAGGGGCCGTCAGGCAACTGCAACTTCTTACCGCACTATGAAACCAAGTTATATGATTTCTAAGTCCGTATTCAAACTTATTGAACAGTAATTATTCATCAT